GTTTTTTGAATGCTTTTCTAGCATGTATGAGACCCTGGATTAATTCTTAGCACCACACAAGCCAGGCATGGTGGCACATGTCTCAGCACTTAGGAGGTGGAGGCAGAAGAGTTAGAAGTTCAAGGTCATCTTCAGCCCAGTATGAGCTACTTGACCCATTCTTCAAAACAAACAAGGCCAGGTTCTTGACCCATTCTTCAAAACAAACAAGGCCAGGCGTGGTGGCTGCACACACCTTTAATCCCAGCACCTGGAAGGCAGAGGTTGACTGATCTCTGTGAGATCCAGGCTAGCTGGTCCATAAAGTGAGTTCCATGTCAGCAGGGGCTACAGGGAGACTGTCTCAGATTGACCAAAAAACAAAAGATTGTCTTTTTTTTTTTTTTTTTTCCTTCTTTGTCAGACTTTTAGCTGGTTAGTGTAAATTTAACTTTAAATTCAAATATTTTGTGGCCAGTACTAGTCCTTAGAAGTGTCGCTTTGATTGGGTCTTTGGCTTGTAAAGGAGAATGTGTGCTTCTTTTTATTGAGGAAGAACTGCCTCTTACCCAGCTTTGGACAAGATTCTTTGAGCCTCAGTTCCCTGTTTATGAAATTGGGATACCTGCTTTGCTGACTCACAAAGTTTTGTATCAAAAAACATTAAAGAGATGGGGTATACGTATCATTGGTAGAATATGAATTTAGCATTTGCAAGACCCTGGGTTTAAACTTTAGTACCAAACCCAAAAACTACTCTGTAAGAATGTACCCCATTTGGTTTTCACTTTAAAATTAGTTTGATTTTGTTCAGTTTTCTATTTCTAGTCTCCTTTACCTGTCCTGCTGGAAAAATTACACTTCTGAAATGTCTTGAAATCTATTTCATATTGTTGAAAGCAGTTTACTGTGGAAACATGGATCGTTTTACTGTGATTTTGGCTATTGTATAAATCAGCTCTTTTTTGGTCTTTTTGAGACAGGTTCTCCCTGTAGCCCCAGCTAGTTTGGAACTCTCTTTGTAGACCAGTCTGGCCTGAACTCACAGAGATCCACCTTCCTCTGGGATTCAAGGCATGTGCCACCATGCTGGGCTTTTTTAAAATAAGGAAATGAATGTTAAGGTTAAGACAATTTGCCTTTGAGGATTCACCTACCCTACTCCCTAGTTTCTAGCTCTTTTCCACAATGGCTTAATTTTCATAAAATCATTCTGGACACAAGGCTGTTCCACAGTTTGTGTGAACTGCTTTTTGAGGCCAGGGTTCTGAAGCCCACACTCCTGGGTGTCAAGTTTTCAGGGTGTAGATGTGTTTGAGGGCCTTCATGATGACATCTGTGTTTAAAGAAGGTAGAATTATTGTTCATTCTGGACAATACTTTATCCATGGATTGCATTTGAATGTAGTCTCCTCATGCCTGAAATTCTTCAGTAAGCATGCAAGTCTCCTTGTTGATTGACAGTATGAGGAAGGCTTTGTTTATTTTTTGAGTCAGGATCTAATGTAGTCCAGGCTGGCTTTGAATTCCTGGTCTTCCTCCCTCTACCTCCCAACTGTTGGGATTATAGGTGTCAGCTACCACGTTTGCAGGAAGGTTTTCTTTTTCTTTTCTTTTTTTTTTTTTTTGAGGCAGGGTCTCGCTATGTAGCCCTGGCCAGCCTAAAACTCATTATGTAGACCAGGCTGGTCTTGAACTCAGATCTGCCTACCTTTGCCCTCCCAGTGCTGGGAATAAAGGTATGTACTACCACACCTGGCAGAAAGCTTTCTTTTTCTTTTGAGACAAGGTTTCCTTGTAGCCCTGGCTGGCCTGGAACTCACTCTGTAGACTAGACTGGCCTTGAACGCAAAGAGATCCTCCTGCTTCTGCCTACTGAGTGCTGGGATTAAAGGTGTGCGCCACCATGCCTGGCTAGAAGGCTTTATTTCTAACAAAGTGACTTTATTAAGTAAAGTCCTAAACATAGAGACTATTCTAAATAGCTTGGCCTCTACAGGAGCCTTTCTATTAGGGAAATAACTGAGGTTGTATTTACTTGAGAGGTAAACTAATTGGATTTGACTTTTAGAATATGCTCTTGATGGTACTAAAAGTTATACAGAGCTAGTGCAAAAGCATGACCTAGAAGACCAAATGGTTACCTACTTACCTACCTACTCTTGCTCCTTCTGGAAGTTATTGTTTACAAAATGCCTGGTCTTTGTCAAGCTCCTAGTTGGTTCTGGTTTGAGGGTTGGTCAGAAGCTTTAAGGTGAGATGATCAGTCAGCTGCACTAATTCCCCCCCCCCCTTCGGTCTTTTTGAGAAAGGACTCCCTGTAGCCAAGCTGGCCTGGAACTCCCTGATGTAGACTAAGCTGGCCTCAGTCTTACAGAGATCTGCCTGCCTCTCTCCAGAGTGCTGGGATTGGAGGTGTGTCCCACCATGCCCAGCAGCTACACAATTTCTTAAAGGAGGTGTGTGTGTGTTTGGGTGTTATAGCTTTTCATTTAAAACAGGACATTGGTAAATATTAGGCTTTACAGTGTTCTAATCTATGGTGAGAGCATTAGTTCATTATAGATCTGACTGTTCAGGCTTCTTGTGTGCTTAATCAGAACAACCTAAAACTTGGCTCTGTTTTCTCAGAATTGTCATGCTTTTAGATCATATCAGGGGGCCTCTTCTCTGGTTTAAGTTTTCTATCAAATTTAACTTATTCTTGAAAGATAAAATTTCTTTCTCTTTGGAAGCAACCTCTGTAGCTATGATCTTGATGAAAAGCAATTCATGAAAAGCAATTCATTTAGATAGCATGGTTTTCCAAAAACTTGATAGCATGAATTTTATATTTACCTTTGGTTCTTTGATATAGGCTTCGCTTGCTTGATTTCCCTGAACTAACTCCCCAGCTTTTTGAGAATCCCTGATAAGAACTTCTCAAGGTCACCTGAGGTATATCCACCCTCTTAAGGTTGGCTTTCCTACCTTTTCTCTAAGAGATGGGAAGTGCTGTGTGTATTACCTTCATGAATGCTATTTTCCTTTTAAAAGGTTCTCATGTCTGTTTCGTGTTTGAGAAAAGACATCAGCAGATAATGACTGACATGGTGACTAGGATTCTAAGTGATACTGGAGAATGAGTCTACTTTTTCTTTTTATCTGTGAAATTAGCAAATCTACTTTCTCAAAGTTAAAACGATTGGAAGTATTTAAGAGGAAAGCCCTACTCCAATGAACATCCCATTTTCTTTTGGATCTTCAGTAAAAGACGTGCCATCTGCTAAGGAGAGGATCTTGTTGCAGAGTTTTGCTTGTACAGCTGCACTCTTGTCATCTTCCTTTTGGGAGTGGGTACTAGGGATTGAACCTGTGGGTGCTTAACTAAGCATGTGCTCTGACTTTGTTGAACTACTCAGTCAGACCTTTAGTAAAGCAGATTCATTCAACTTGGGTCCTCTGATGTCTGGATTTTGGTCTTGTCTTTCTGGGATATACCTAATCATTGTATGACTTTCCTTTTAGAGTCTACTCTAGATATAGCAGACATGGATTAAAATAATCAAGTCAGGAACAGTATATAGAAATGTTCCATTGCTTTTTATAGAAGGTCCAGGGAAAAGGGAACTATCTTACTGGATGTCATTATGGATATACTGGTGATGTGTTCTGCTAGCACAGCAGCTAACTAAAAATAAATTGCACTGACTTAACTCAAATGTTGTTTTTAGCTAGGTACAGATCACTGAAGGGCAGTGAACAGATTTGCTGAGCTCAATTCAGTACGTCTGGGGAATTTTTCTTTTTTTTGGGGGGGGGTCTTTTTGAGACAGGGTCTCCCTGTAGCCCCAGCTGTCCTGGATTCACTATGGAGACCAGGCTGGCTTTGAACTCACAGAGATCCGCCTGCCTCCCGAGGGCTGGGATTAAAGGCGTGTGCCACCAGGCCCGGCCATGTCTGAGGAATTTTAAGGCAAGGGAATAGATATTAGTTATAAAAAGTTGTTGAGAATTGGAAGCATAATGAAAACATACCAGGGCAGAGTGCAACTTTTTAGTTCCATCTTCCCTTTTGTTTTTTGTATCAACGTTTTTTCTCTTGCTATTTTAAAATGTTTGCTATATTGGGTCTGGAGAGATGGCTCAGCGTTTAAGAACACTGGTGGTTCTTGCAAAAGACCCGGGTTCCAATCCCAGCATCCACATGGCAGCTAACAACTGTAATTCCAATCCCAGGGGAATCTGACAGCCTCTTCTGACCTCTGCAGGCATTGCATGACATGTGTGCACTTACCTACATGCATGCAATATACACATACACATAAAATAAAAATAATAAAAAAAAAAGTTTGCTATAGGCTTGTGTATTCTAAATCTTTGTGTGTTCACACCATCAGTGGGAATGCCTCTCTGAGATGACATGGTAGATGCAGGTGAGCATGGCTTGAGTCATATGCAATGTTTAAGCATTTGTTGAATGATGAGATGCTCCTATTTAACATTCATGAGAATCCACCCTTCTGAAGGAGAGCAGCATAGCTTAATGGTTAAGGGCCCACAAACTGGAGAAAATTCAAGCTGTTACCTCTAAGTCTCAATACCTCTTCCTCACTTGCAACAAGGTGACAATACCTATCTCAAGTATAGATAGGATTTCTTTTCTCATGTGATGCTTAATGAAGTACTAATAAACAATAATTATCAATTTTCAGTACCATTAAACTAAATTAGGTTAAATTTGGCAAGTTAGTTTGGCTAAAAAAAAGCAGTCCCTCTATTTGTGTGCTTTTTTGGGGGGGTGGGCTTTGGCAAACAAGTTCTAGAACTATGACTTGAATTCTAAATTTCGACCATTAAGATCAAATATATAACATTTTAAACATGACTAAGATATATTTCAGATTATTAGAGAAATTACGGGTTTAGAGGGCTCATAGCTCATGGGAACTCAGTTTGGTTAACTAATAAAGTTGTTTTCTTTAGAAGCAAATACAGTATGGCTATAATGATCATTGTGTATCTTTTTCTTTTTCTAATAGAAAGCGTGGATACCCATCAGCGAAGTTTTGATATTGGAATTCAGATTGGCTATCAGCGACGCAATAAGGATGTGTTGGCCTGGGTTAAAAAACGCAGAAGAACTATTCGTAGAGAAGATTTGATCAGCTTCCTGTGTGGGAAGGTTCCTCCACCACGAAACTCTAGAGCTCCCCCAAGACTGACTGTAGTGTCCCCTAACCGAGCTACTTCAACGGAAACTAGCTCATCTGTAGAGACTGATTTGCAACCCTTCCGGGAAGCCATAGCTCTGCATGGTAAAGCCGTTTAAACATTTCTTTGGAACATGGTTAAGAGTGTGCCTGTGGACCCATTTTCATGTTTAGGGTTAGGTCCAGATCTATTGTCTGTTTTTTTGTCTATATAGTAAACACCTGTTCTAGAAATGTTGAATAGAATGTAAGCTAAGAACTTACATGGGCATTTTTGACCTTCAGCTAGCGCATCTTAAAGATGTTTTTAGATTAGTTTGAGCTTATTAATATTACAGTAATCTTTCTGCAGTGTTGACTAGAAGTCATTGTTTTATACTTACATATGTTGTACATGTTTCCTTAGTCCTCTTTTGAGTCAAAGAGGAAGACCTTGTGTCTTAAAGAGTTCTGTTAGTTATAGTTGCTGGGAGTGCTTGGTCCATGACAGGCAAGTAATTGTTGGGGTAGTTCTTCTAGGAACCAGGAATTGCCTTTCTTAACACCCTAGTGTTAACTAGATTGCCTGGTATAGAGGATGAAGAGTTGAATGATCAGGTGAGAAGTGGTGAAAAATCATCCATTTTCCTTCTGCCTGTCATCCCTCAGGTCTGTCTTGCTTAGATAGGATCATGAGAAGTGCAGACATGGGGCAAAGCCACACCTGTCATCTGGAGGGTTAAGGTATTCTTGGCCCAGAGGCTTTAGTATTCTTGGAGAAATCTGGGGGAAAGTCCTCAGTAATAAATCTGTTGTTACCATTTACTACAGATTTCCATATAAAAGAGGGAGAGTTAAGTTTTTTTTGTGTGACTTATTAGACTGCTGTGGAAAAAAAAAGAGCAACCAAGTAAGACTTGGTTAAAACAAGATAGAAAGCACAACTAACCAGGTAGAAGTAACAAGCGAGTTAGGCCTATGCATCCTATTACAGTTAACATTTGTAGGTCATCAAAAACAATGCTAACCTAGTAATAAATAGTGGGATGTGTATAAAGAACTTTTATGTCATGGAAATTTTAATGCCGGAAGAGATCACATTTCCTTTGGCAAAGCTTTATTTTTTCCCTGTATCCCTGAAAAGATGGGAGTTGGAAAAAGTACTTTTTTTCTTTCTGATTTCAAATTTTAAGTTAAAGCACTTATTTCAAGAAAAGTTGTATGGATACACTTCTTTAGACTGCATACTATTTTCAAACAGTCAAGCTGTTCAGAACTTTTGGAACTCAGGCAAAAATGAAGATGATTTGTTCTATAGAATTAATGTCACATATTTCCCTCTTAAGTTCAGAAAGATAATTGAGAGGTGTACATTATTTATGAGATTGGTTCAGTGCATGGTAATGTGATGTAGTTGTCTTTCCTCAGATTTTCTGATTGCTTCAACTGTGGTTTATGATTCATTCCATATTTAAGAGTATTTTTTTCTTTCTAGTATTCTGCAGAGACAGGTTTTCAGAACAAAAGTCATGTTTGCTGTATAACCATGCTGGAGTGTACATATTAAAGAGAACGAGCCAGCCTTGAGAAGCTGCTCTGCTCTTAACTGTCATTGCTGCTTTTCTGATCAAATCTGTTCAGCCTGTGACTTACTATTTTTTTGAACTTTGAGAGTTTCAGTGAGATTTAATTGTAGGAACGACTATTTATAGGTTTAACCTATGCTTAAGTTGAGGGCTTTAATAATCTTAAATATAAAAATGTAGAAAAAGAAATTTTGCCTACAGTGAACCTAGAATGCAGCACTAATTCAGTCCATATGAGAGGCAGAACAAACTTGTGTTTGTCAGGCTTATCCTTTTAAGTCTTAGTTAAACAGGGTTGATAAAGTTTAGGGTCTCTTTAAAAAAGAATCTATGTAAACAAATTATGCTGAGTTTGTCCTCTAATGGTTTGCTAAACTATTAAGTATACTGAGGAGAATACTAGTCTGATTTGAATGTTTAAAGCAGGTCATTTGAGTAGTGAATGGGCATTGGTAATAAATTATAATGTAGTCCTTATCTGATTTGTAACAAACTGTTAGGTGATTTTAAAAGTATTTGGGGGAGGGAGGAATATTTGGAAACATTTTAATTAGGGTAAAGATACTGTACCAGAGTCCAGTTAGCATATTATTTGCATAGTCAAATCTGAAATACAAAGTCAAATTGAAATTTTTAGAGTCTTCATTAGAGGATGAGTCTAAATTAATGAAATTTAAGAGCAGATAGGTATGGGAAAAAAGTATGTTCAGAGTCCTGGGTATGGTGATGGAGGCCTTTATACTAGCACTAAGGAGGCAGTAGCAGGTGGATCTCTGTGAGGTCAAGGCTAGTCTTCATATCAAATTCCAGGCCAGAGAGTGTTACATAGTGAGACCCTATCTCAAAAAACAAAATGAAAAGCTGGGCATGGTGGCGCATGCCTTTGATCCCAGCACTCAGGAGGCAGAGGCAGGAGAATCTCTGTGAGTTCAGAGCCAGTCTAGTTTACATAGTAAGTTCCAGGCCAGCTGGGGCTATAGGGAGACCATATCTCAAAAAGACCAAAAAAAAAAAAAAAAAAATGTTGGTGAGATAGACTTGTGTTTATAATTGTAAAAACCATGTTCCTCCATATCCTTTTTGAAAGGGACTGTTTTCCGCTTTAATTTGTTCTTAAGTACCTGGACACCCACCCACCAATCAATACGTCCACCAAACAGACCGTAGATCCCTAAATTCTGCCTTTATTTGAAGAAAAATGGCAGGGACTTGAGGTGTTTACATGTAGAGCATTTCACACAGACATTAAGGGAGTGACGAGAAAGATCCCTTAAAAGATGCCCTCATTAGCCTGGGAATCAGTTTAGTGAGAGAGACTTAGGTATAATTTCAACCAAAAGTGGACTGTTAGTATTTTTTAACATCTCCAACAGATTTCTTTCTTAAAGGAGTGAACTAAGGAGAAAACAGAAGTATGGAATAGAAAATACTAATCTGAGCTGCTTTACTGATTTTTACAAATGAGTACAAGTGATGATGCCCTGTACAAAACAAAAAAGATTGAAAACGGGGTGCTCCCTTAGCAAGGCTTCAGTGGTTGCAGTGTCTGGTGTTTGGCATACAGGCTGCAGTCATTGTTTTTGGACAGATCATTGGATACTTGGCACAGTCCATGCTTTTAACCAGATACAAGCAGAATGACCACTTGACCCCAGTATAAGTCGATGAAATGTTTGGTTTCATGTGTCTCATAACCACTGCAGTTCTACCCCACAATGCAGTGCCAAGTGGGGTTGTATTTCTTTTCAGACTCCTGTTAGGGGGCTGCAATATCCTTTTATATATTACATTTCTCCAGTGCCTGAGTACTGCGCTCCATGGAGTCCTGTTGCATCTCTTCTGATAAGTCTGAATTTTATTTTCAATTTTTTGAAATATTTTTTCAAGACAGGGCCTTCCTGTAGCCCTAGCTGGCCTAGAGCTGGCTTCTGCCTCCTGAGAGCTGAGCTTTCTGCATCCTTTTGAGAACACTGCCTTCAAGTTGCACATGGTTACTCTGGAGCAGGGTCTAACTCTTCCCATCTTCTGGGGGAGGGGCTGGTGCCCCTCAGACCGGAAAGGAGATATGGTCACTATAGAAGCTGTGGTGTGTATCTAAAAGATTATTACTTTTTTTTTTTTTTTAAAAGGCAGAGAGTCTTAGTAGCCCAGAAAAATAATCAAGTTAATGATTATCAAATAGTTCCACTTAAAACTACAATTAATGATTAGCAAGGTGTAAGCCTGTAACCCATGGTTATTATTTTATCAACTTGTTCTGCAGCATGCTTACTTTCTGTGTACTGTAGGACTACTCCTATTCTCAGAGAGAATAAAGATGCATAGGCTTATGTAGAATTTATTTTTGTCCTTGTTAATCTTCATCTTAAAATTTATCATTGAAAATCTACTGAGAACCCAAATTCTTTTTATATAAACAATATTCCAGGTAGACCAAAAATACCACTTGGTTTTCTGTCTACCTTTCTGGTGGCTCTTACTTTAATCACCTTTTCTCTTCAAGAGCTTTCCTTTTTTTTTTTTTTTTTTCCAATTTCTGCTATTTGGGCCTCTGATCTTTTCTCAGATTCTTTGACTGGCCTGAAATAAAGTTTCCGGGATTCTAGCCCTATCTGTTACCTTCTATAGGCCCCAATGGTCTATCTTACTCTTAGCATCAAGATCAGTACCTCTCATTTAGACCTCTGGAGGGTAACCTACTATATTTCTTGGTTTTCTGGTGTACATTTCCCAGTATATCCCGTAGGCATTTGTCTCAAGTAACTCCCCACCCCAAGTATTGGGGCTTGAATCTAGGGCCTTGTGCATGCTAGGAAAATGGTGTGCCGCTGAGATGTACATCAGATGACATTTCAGCTCTGCCTTCTGCACCAACAGCAGCAAATACACACCACTCCATGTGGCTAATCGGCAGTCTGTGTACTTTTAGGAACACATAAGTGAACACAGAGTTCTTCCATTTTCTGTTGAAACAAACATAGTTGGTTGATTGGTTTTAATGTCCTAATTGTATATAAGATATTCAGGGGGTGGAGGAGCAGAAATGACATTTCACAGTACAGCTTGGCCATGGGTTTGGGGAATGCTTTCTGGAGGAGGTGAGTTTGGGTTTGGAGTAGCCTAACCTGTTCTTGCCTCCTATTTTTGAGGTGGCTTAGTCACCAGTCTGTCTTTCATGAGATTATTGGAGTGAAACCCCCTACCCCCTCCATCCACTATGTCATTTCCCTGCCTAGGCTTTCCCTATGGTCATACAGGGGTAAGTCGAAACCTGCTGTGATGTGGTTTTGACTTAAGGTCAAATATCCCAGTCCCCCCTGTTGAATCCTGAATTTCTTGCTTTTTTTCACAAATCCCCCTCATTACTTTATAAGACTGATCACATCATGTGTGTGACACAGCTGTACTCCAGTTCTGTTGTTATCATCATCATTACTTTGTAACCCAGGCTGGATTTAAACTTAGGACCTTCCTGATAGAGTTTGAGTGCTGGGACTACTGGTGTGCAGGATCACATTTGACCTGTTAGGTAGACTATTC